TATATATTGTTTAAATCTTGTCCGTCTAATCACAATAAATTCTTATTAAATATTAAAATATTACAATAATTAACATTTAAAATATTAAATGATGTTCTTTATCGAAATATTCGATTTACATTAGATCATCATTTAAACAATATATATATTTATTATATCACAATATGACGCAACTTTACCATCTCATTTTATATATTATTTATGTAATTTGTTTCTTTCATGTAAATTCCACGTCAGTAGAAAATGAAAATCAACGAAACGTAATATACAGTAAATATATGATTTCTCCTTACTTGTCATACACGTAACATGGAGAAAGTACTGTGATCTTGAAACAATCAATCTAGATTTCGATGCCAGTCTTCTGAGTTATATAACACCTTGTGGACTTGTTGGTAAATATCAGCGTTTCGGAAGAACACACTGCCTACACCGTCAGAGTTAAAGGTTGTGTCTTCGTCCAAAATATCTGTATCTACCTACAAGTACATACAATAAAAAAATAAACTATGCTCTTCAGGACTGCGTCGCAGCGTAATTTTACCAGAACTTTGTATGAACACTGGTAACCACAACCTGGAAATCCACAGTCTACATTTTCACAAACACGAAAATCTCAATTCTAATATAATAAGTGGCATGAATTTGTTTCCAAAAAGGTATTAGTCAGAATTATGAAACGCGACGTGATACTGTAACCATGAAATAGGCTGCAATCTAATTTATATTCCAAGTCGTTGCAGTTTCCCGTTGTCCACTTCGGTTTTTCATATGCTAATGATGCACCAACAATAATTCGTGTGTGCGGGACAGTATAACATGACGGATGAGCTAAAATTTACACATTCTCCCTGAATACAAACTATTCTTGAATAAACTTCGTAAATTGCCGAGTAAATTCAAGCACACACTGAGTAATAAATTATGAGCCGGGATAGCTCAGTCAGTATAGTGACTAGGACGACCGGGGTTCGATCCCCGACGGGGGCAGAGGACTTTTCCTCTAGCCTCTGTTTCCAGACCGGCTCTGGGGCCCACCCAGCCTCCTCTACAATGGGTACCGGGGTCCTTTCCCGGGGGTGAAGCCGGCCGGGGCGCGATGCCGGACAAACTTTACTTTTACTGAGCAATAAATTACGTAACAAGACTTAATTATGCAAGTACTTAACGAGGATACGCTTACGCGATCAGCTCAGAATGCAAATCGTCAATTTTTAAGAAGATTAATGAACAATTAAATGAAACGCTTAAATAAAAAGTGACCATGACATTAATTTACGGCGGTATCCCGTCAAATGCATGGTGAAGCTGAGAAAAATCACGGAAATCTCGTTTCGAGATAGATACTCGAACCCAGAACTTACCGAATACGAAGCAGGCGTGCTAACGAGTGGGCTGCAACGTGTGGTATACTTGTTTTTGTTGCATTTTTATTACAGAGTTTTGATGAGACGTGTACTTTAATTTACATTTTGGGTTTGTATCTCCGTACATATTATTGTAACGTAACAGGTGGATGAATATTAAATCATGGAAATACAGAGACATTAAAATACAAGTCGTTGCTACAACTTTTAGTAATATTCCATGTTCATAATAGCTTCATGAGGGAAATGCTTTAAAATAAACGCACGAATAAAACTATTTTATAAACGTATTTTATAAACATGCTTTTATGTCTGAAGTTCAGGTGTAGGCCTCATATTTGCAAACCTTTAAGTTATTTGTGGTTGTATTCCACAGTATTTTGTATAAAAATATACGTAACACCAGCTGTTTCTAATTCTGAGCCAGAGGAATGAAACTGCAAAACTCATTACCTCTGCTCTACGAAGGATAATATCTTTTCGACTATTCCGTCTCAGAATGGAATCTGAGATGAATGTCCTAGCCACACACGGTTCGACTTTTTCGACGGATGACGAGCCTGTCGTGGGGCCTCTGCCAAAAATAACACAACACAACAAAGCATAAACAAGCAAAATAACTCAAGACGTCAACACATAAGAGATTTGGGGATTCATGGCGGCGAAGACGATCCGGGTTGTGTAGGAAGAGTCTACGAGTCTACATGAAGTTACAAACCAGGAAAACAGCTGCGTCATCCATTCTCCTATTGAGATTCAGAACCGCGAAATGATTGTTCGACAAAACATCGACGCAAATCTAATTGTGCGGCCACCAGGACGAACAATGATTACAAGTCGACAACATTATATAAAAATATGGACAAGTATTGCAAAACGATTCATGTACATTTCCATAGTTCTAGAAATGTATAATTATCAGCGATTGTACTGCAAGTAGGAGTGCACTACAAACAAGATTAACCACAGTTTCTCATAAATAAACTACAACTGACAAAGGTTTGAGTGTAAAGAAGATATGATAAGGGAAGTTCATAACACAGAAACCTATTTTCCTTCACGGGGTAGGACGAGAACAAGTGACCAGCGAAGTTATATAACTTAATTAGTCTATTAATGGTTCGTATATTATGCATCAACTTTGTGACAACTAATGACATTTAGACAATGCAATGAGACATTATACATGATTGCTAGGGTGCAGAGTGAGGATTTATTAACGATGCTTTGGTAAGGGACATCGCTCACTTTCAAAATGATTTTCATGCACGTTTTACAATACATAATCACGTTCACACTTCTAAAGATGAAAAATTCGGTCAGTAAAAAGTATCTGGATGGATGCATTATGAAACAATGAACATGCTCCTTAATACTAAATCCTTACTCTCAGTGATACGTTTAGGTTTCAAACTGAAAATTTACGCTACCCATTGTGAGTTAGTATCCACATTCTCGTGAGGGACTGGGGGTTGGTTAACTATGCACCTAATTAGAGCCTCCAGGCAACGCGAGATGCATACTACAACCCCTATTCTGTCCCTCTAACCCACGTAGATGGTATGAACGAAGTCGCTGTGATACTTACGAGAGCGGTGTCAGCTCCTCCTACGATGGTGATACCCAGGTTTGTGGCGAGCCGAGGGATCTCTATGTGGCTGATTTCCCCTTCCAAAACAGGCAGCCTAGTGATTCCTGTAGAACACACACACACAAACAATGTTGTCAAAAAGCATTGATCTGGGTCTTGCGGAGACAGATATTCGGATGATTTGGAGTAAGAAATGGCTTGGGATTTCATATTCTGTCTCCGACGAGGAAGAAAAAGATGGCTGTCTGTTGGAATGTTGTGGCGTGAAGTATAGTGGAAAATTTTTAGGCGTTTCAGAGGCGCTTACTGAAATGATGGAGGCATCAGTCACCGCTGAAACGCCTACAAACTTCTATCAAACTGCACGGTGCAACACTCAGAAGACATCTTGAACATCGATATATTCACTGCCGTGAAAACATCAAATCCCATAAAATTAGACATAGACAATCGATACTTTTATGACTATAAAATTCATCGAACGACCTTAGTACTCAGCAGCTGTTCCTTAACGTCAGATCAGTGACCGCAGGATAATTTTCATTGCAGACAGAGCTTTAAGAACTCCACAAGAAGAAAATGAATATTAAGGACGTGCACTGTAGTGTTCTGGGTTGTGACGCCGTGTGGTAACGACCTGCAACACTCGCGTACCTATTATGCATAAATTCGAGTCACGTGTTTCGTGAAATGAAAGATAAGCACTTTGCTTCTTAGATATATTTATATTTCCTTTCATCTTTCGTTCTTTCCTTGTTCCTTTTGTGATGTTTCACACAGTTGAAATGATATGAATATCGCTCAGCCGGAAACATTCAAACCACTGGGGTCGAAGGTGTCAAACTTCTGAGTTTTCGAGGGAGTGTTTTCTTTTAAGAATAATGGGAGGGGATAACAGTTCGACGGACGTCACATGACAATAAGCATCCCCCCCCTTCAGACTCTTTCTCAGCAAAGAAGCCTGAGGGTGCCCACTCCATCGAGGGAATCGATACAGATGGCGAGTGCCTCAACTCTCTTCATTTCAAGCGAGTTACAGGCTGTTTGTTATTGTTGCATGTCTCAACCAATCGTTCCAAAGCGCATGCCATAACCTTAAGCCTTTCTGAGGCATAAGCACGTGTAAAAACATATGATAATTCAGTTTGAGCAGCAAAGGAAACACAACACTTCACCGTTGCAACGATGAATTCGTTAACGCTATTTACAAAAATAAACTCTTTATTAAGAGTCATAAGAAACAACTTAAAATACACTCCACGGGCAAAATGAAGCATTAATGTTTATTAAATAAGCCGTGCATAAAGAATACCAAGCACAAAATTAAAAAAAAAACTGTTATGTCTTCAGAAATGCAGGTTTTACGGGATGTTGTAATAAGTTTTACTGTACAATTTAAGCGTTTACTCTCGCTAACAAAGCCTGATATTGGCTTATATGGTCCTATTCTACGAACTCCGGTTGTACAAGGGCGGGGATTAGCCCTCGTTAGCAGGTCCAGCTGTCAAAAAACTATCCATGATGGGTACAAGGATCTGTTACCAAGTTTGTTGTTATACGAGATTTGAGATTCTCACGGCGGTAAAGATGTCGATGTTGGTCTTCTGAGTTGTAAAGTCGTCAGTCTGTGAACGATTAATAAAATACGCAACCCATCTTAATCTCCGCGGGGTGGACTGTGTTGCAGCTAGGTGCTGGCATCCGCGGGCGCACAATCCACCCTTCTTCAACCCTCCTGTAAATACGTGGAATGCTCCAGAATAGTCGCAGTTCTTGTAATGTTACTACAAGCTAAGCTCTATCACAGCAAATGTTCGCTTTGTGTCTGTCTCCTCTTTTGTACTTGTCTTATTTCCTTTCGTTTATCTGCGTTTCACAATTACTACGAATCTCCAAACCCAATTTTCTTCCTCCCAAGCAGTGCACGGCATGGGCGCTTAAGATGGCTGCAGACCTTCGCTTGATGTACAAATCTGCTTGATGTCAGTTCGCGAATTTTAGTAATAAGGTCTACTTTTAAAGTAAAGTATTTGAGAGAACGTGCATGCAGAAAACACACGTTCGACATTCTAATAAGTGGATTCATGATCGATAATAAATTATTGTTTAACAATACTTATGCTATAACTGTGGCACCCCGGATTTCAAAGGGAGGGTCGGGGGAAGAACAAGTGACTTGCCCATAAATCTTTAAACGTTACTTTAAAATTTAAGCCAAATCTGAAGCTACTAAAATGCCATCTGATAAAAATCAGCGTTTAACCAACATTTAATCAACTCTCTACATTTTAAAACGGTAACCATAACTCCGAAAGCTGCGCCCAATCACAGAAAATTTCAGAATGACAAATCTCACTATTATATTAAAGCATGTAAAAAACAAGAAAGTCGCTGGGAGTTCGAGAAATATTACTCTCATTCTGGAGAACGTGGCAAAATTTTCTTAATATCCAAATAAAACTACAGACTGGCAATAAAACTGATCGTCTTACTTAAAATGAGCGTGCGGATAAAATATATTTTACCGATATTATAATTTTTTTAAAGCACAATCGTAGTTATGTTCTTTTACATGAAATGACAATAAAACAAAATATAGTCTCCCGGTTTGAAGAGCTTCTTCCGCGGTCCAAGAAACTCCATAAATTCAGCGCCACAACGGACAATATTTGAATTGCAAATTGTGAAGCTCTTAGCACTATGATACGAGCCAACTTTAAAAACTTCTCAGAAGAGACTAAGGAAAATTGAGCTAGTACAGGATCCGAATATGGACCGAAGACAACAAAAAGGTTCAGAACCGTGAATATGAAGCACGGATGCGCGAATTCATGGCGGCGGGCATGAATGACTCTTCGAATAAGTATACGATTTGCAGTACCTAAAAAGGATTTCGGGTTCCCACGGCGGTGAGTACAAAAATGGCCGTAATTGGGTAGAATTTCTACCACTGTGCACGGCGCTACAGCCCAGAAGACATCCATCTTAATAAGAGCACGCAAAAAAATAAATTTAATGTGCTGATACCAAACACAGAAGCTGACTTTCTGGTGTTTATTATCTAAAACGTAAGACGCTCACTTTACAGAGGCCTACGTTTTAAAGATCAACACAAAATGTGAGTTCTTTCTTCATACCGAAGGTACAACAAACTTGAGGTGTAACGTCGAAGTATGGTGGCATATCCAAAGCCAGGACACGCGAGTTTCCTCTGGTTCGAAATCACCCACAACGCAGATTCTGCGTCTGTTCAACAACATCGCGGTAGAGTGTACAGCTCCCTATCGTCGCATACGGGAGGTCCAGGGTTCATATCTGGACCCGGGGATCTGCTGTCCGGACTCACGTTCTAGTGGATTTACCCAGCCTTACAGCGTCAGGCCAGGACCGCCTCCTTCCACATTCCAACTGGCTGTCCGTTCATTCGATACTATGGTAGTCATGTAAACCACAGATACTGAAGACGTAAGCAGGGAAATGGCGTATAATACAAAACCATTAGCGCGCCATGGTCTTTGTTAATTTATAATTTGTTTTATGTTTCAGAACTTGAAATGGAGCCTCATGCTATTTCCCTGAAAGCATTCATGGCTTAGTACTCAAATATAGAGAGCAGATTTGCCGCTCTACTGAAGAAAGCAGAACGGTGATGGATGCGAGAGCATGTCGGAAAAAAGAAATGACAAGCGTGTTCTGCCATGGTGCGTAATTTGTACCTGTCTAAAATATATATTTTTCACAATACAGGCTGTTGCCAAAGAAAGACTGGAAACATTAATTTTAGACAGAACTTCCCACACTTGTAGGCAATGCTTCGTTCCGAGTATTCAGGCTGCAATGCTCAGAAACATGTGGGGCATAAGCCTGAAATAATAAAATGATGATAAATTACTTTATTAACTCTCCAAATTACAGTTTCAACATTCACTAACAAGCAGATCAAAGTTGTGTCGTGTCCGTTATCAAGCTCACACTAATTATAGCCCTAAAGTCTACTTACCAGGAGGGCAAGCGGGCATTGCCTGGGAACCTTAGAACTATAAAGCGCAACCCCCCCCCCCCCCCCCCACAAATACTGTCTCTCACTTCTCCCCAACAATTCTCTTTTTGTATCTAATCCTTTGAATTCTTCTTAACTCTCTCTTTCTCGGGCTTCAAAGGTTAGGTTAGGTTAGTTTAAGGTAAGGTTAGGTTAGGTTAGGTTAGGTTAGTTTAAGGTAAGGTTAGGTTAGGTTAGGTTAGGTGTGGATGTTGTGACGTTACTTTCTCAAACAGTATAGCTTGGAATCGACCGAGGACCACCGAATATGTAGGAGGATTGCGAAAAAGATCACAACACAGCCCTTGTCCCTTCGATCTAACTCATTCCACGGAATAATTCCAATCGTATCAAAATTCTGAATCAGTAAATCGAAATGAAATTCACGTAAAGAATCTAATTCGGTTTTGTCATTTTTGAAAAAAATCTTGGTGAAAATTCTTTTAATGTCAAAGCAAGGAATCGAAAGCTACTGTACTAAGACGCAAACCCATTCGAAGCCCGAGGACACACCAAGTATTAACCGCAGACGAGGCTTTCGTCGTATTTGTAAACGTGCCGTGCTCCACGCCTACAAGAGCCAACGTCAGCTCGGAATTGTTACGAGCTTCGTTATTATTCAACTCACCGCAGCCAGCCAATCGGCCTCAGCATACAGGGCCCAGATTCGGTGCATCAGCGAATTAAAGCACTTCAGGGCATGACATGAATAAAGGATAATTACAAGTGTTTGTTCGAATTATATACCACTTTAATGAACATGCTGTAGATACACGCTAATTGTTGGCAGAACGCAACGCCACCGAACATCGGGGGCGTGCAGATGGCACTCATACTTCGTGTTCGAGAGGTCATGGGTTCAAATATCGACCCGGCGACCGGCCACCCTGACAGGTTTTGCGTGGTTTTTGTCGCTCGATTCAGGCAAATGTCGGGATAGGACACGACCGCATAAATCCGCATCCCTTCTCATCCATTAATCATCCTATCATGCAACGGTATGTAACTAATATATGAATAGGAACCACCCAAAATCATTCGCGACACTAATTACCCAGGAGACCAAAAAAAAAGTTACTTTCCTTAATTAAAGCAGCCATTTTGTACGTACGTAATACTGCACACGTTCCAAGTGCCTTTATTGCGCTAAAAATTCACATGATACATCGCGAAGAGAAATTAATCT